GTACCGCAGGGGATGCGTAAAAACGCGGCGGGCGCACGGTTTGGGGCTTTTTTTTTTTCCTCCCAAACCAGCTCTAGTGCGAGACTCCGCCTGTAGCTGCAGCCTCTCGGATCCACCTTAAATCTTTAGTGGACTCGGCACAGGGGTCAGTGGGTGCAGCCAATGCCAATCAAGTTTACAACCACCAGCATGGGAGGAAAAAAAAAAAAAGAGAGGAAAAAAACAATCCTCAAGTTCTCCAGTCCACACACTCACACGGACGCACTCACACACTTACACAAGCACACAAAAGGAAGGAGGAGGTGGGCGGATAGGCGCGCGTGCCCGCGAGCGCGCGAGCGAGAGAGGAAATGTTTGCAAAATGCTGGCTGGAGGCTCGGTGCCCGTGGCCCAAGCGCTCGGGGAAGGCGCGCGGGAAGCGCAGCCCGGCGCGAGCGCCATGATGGTGGCCGCGGTTCGGAGCCCATTTTCTGGCGGGGAAGCTGCAGTGATGCAATCCTCCAGCCTCGGGTCCGGCCGCGCGCCTTCTCCCTGCCTTTTCTTCACGTTCCTTTTGAGGCGCGTCGACGTTTCGCGCCCAACACGCAGCGCTTTCTTTTTGTATCTTTTAGTTTCTGATTCCTGCCTACTCTGTGTTTGCCCCCACGCGAGACAGGCCTGGTTGCGGGTGGGAACACACACAGGGACTTGAAGTTTACCTGTAAACACATTTTCGGGGTCTGACTGAGCATGACCCCACCCCACCCCCACGCGAGCCGAGATCCCCATGGTTCTCCTCCCGGGGAGGAGGGGAGGGTTGTTCTGGCATGACCGTGGGCCCTCGTTCCCGTCCCCCCGACCCCGCTCCGCTTGCAGGATTTTTACCTTAAATGTGGCGGGAGAGGGAGGGGTGCGAGCGTAGGGTGTGGCTCAGGTGCAAAAGATGGCAATTTAAAAATATATATATGTATATACTCTGTAAAACAGATCGGAGAGCCTAGATGAGCTGTGAAAAGACCCTTTTCAATCTCAAAAACCTTATAAAGAGCAAGTGTCGAAGCTAACGATGATGAAGATGAAATGGCGAAGGCAGCATTCCACGGCCGCCGGGAAAGGTCGTTCCGCGGAGCCAGGGCAGTGGGCGCACGGTGGCCTGAAAGGCCGCCTACCCCACTCCCCTCCTGTTGATTTCCACGCTCCCCTCCGTCCCCTAATCATGCCACTGGACCCACAGTTTCCTAGTTCTTTCCTGCCCCTGCACCCCGCGCTGGACAGCGGGGGATGAGATGGGACAACTTCGCAAAGCGGGTGGAAAGGAGGAGGCGACCCCCGCAAGCGGCGGTGGCGCTCGGCCTTCTGCGAGCCGCTGCGGCCCTCCTTGGCCGCCAGCGAGCGGGGAAGCCTTTCGAAATGCGCGGGGCTGTGGATCATTGGAGCCCGGGGTGGGGGTGGGAGCGGGCTGCTGCCCTGGAGGGTCCACGAATTCAGAAAGATTCTCCCCTTCGCTCAGATCCTCCCACTGCTCAGGAGCTGGCAGGATACTGATGGGGAGGATCTGTTTGTGGAGAGGAATGGGGGCTTTCGCCTCTTTCTTAGCCCAGAGGAGAGAGGATGAGGGAGGCAAGTTTCTGCGAAACCGTCCAGCCCCGCTGCGCTGGCCTAGGCGCAGCCGCCCTCCACGGCCTTCTGGCGCCCCCGGCGCGGGAACTGCGCGCGGCGACCCAGGCCGTGCGGGAGCTGCAAGTTTCAGACCAGGAGCCAGACTTGATGGCCTTTTCGTCTCGAGGCGCCAGGCAGCCCGCCCGACCCCGCAACTGCCGCGGCGAGCGGGAGCCGGGCTGCTGGGCAGTTTGGGGAGAAGACGGCGCACTGGCTCGGGTAGCGGGCGCTCGGAATCGCGGGGACGCATTTGGAGACTTGACACAGAAGTGTAATGGATCGACCCGGCGACTTAGGGACTGCGTTCCGGTGAACGTGCCTGGCGCAGCGAGCATCCACCACTTCCTGGCCCAGCACTCCTAAAATGCAATCTCTAAAAATTCACATTAAAGATGCCTCTTTATGAGAGGAAAATGGGGTACATGCAGCTATTCAGAGGACTTTTTTCCCCTTCTGTTAGAGACACTTTTTTTTTAAGTGCCCATTTTGGCTCAGAGAAACTTTATTTCATTATTTCCTGACTCTCGACTCCTTCCTCCCTGTTTTGAATTGTTTTTCTTGCTTCTCAGTGTCTTCCTGAAAAACACCCTGTATGCGTGTTTTGAATAGAATCACAAAAACACCCTTTAGTCTTTAATTAAAATAATGCCTACTTGGAAGATGTAGCCCAGCAAGCAAAGGACCTACTTTTCTCTTCCCGGCAGCTGTAAAGTCAACCCTGGTTTAAAAAAAAAAAAAAGTAACTTCGGGTCAAAATAGGCTGAAACTATCTTATTTAGAGATCTTTTTGGGGTGCAACAATGTAAATGTAACTATTTGAGGGAAACAATTTAACCCAAATTCAGATTTTTGCGATTTAACCATTTGCAGATTCATAGAGAAAATAATTTACTTTTACACCTTAACCACATTTTTTAAGAGAATGTGAAATTACAGGAATAATTTTAGTAAATCTGACTTTAAAATTTTTTTTTTTAAGTAAAAAAATCTCTCTCTGCTATGTGGCTATAGGGACTCAAAACCCTCTGATTTGATATTTAAATTAACCAGTTTTTGGTTGGGTAGATTATAACCAGGAAATTTAGAAATTGAGGAATTTGTGTGTGATGACCAGTTTAAAGAGTACCTGTTTTATCTAAATTAGTGTGGAATGCATGCCAATTTCTAAAGGACTTATATATTTAAATATTTTGGAGAAGAGGTATGGATTAGATGGTCTGAACAATTGCTCACACTCTTCACAACACTTTGCATGTGTAAATAGAGAATTTAGAGAAGTCATCAATGTTACTTTCATTTTCAATCCTGTAAATGTGTGATCAGTGTACACTTACGTAAGAATTTTTGGTTCTGACATTCATATCCTAGAAGACATAAATATTTAAACTAATGGAGACTGACAATCTTATTTATATATGAGGCTTTTCCACTTTATAGTACTAAAGCTTTGTCCACTTATACAGAACTATGTGGAAAATAATAACAACTACATTCAGACCCATATAAACATCATCTGAGTTGTGGGCCTACATTACCTAGGTATTTGTCACTTCATGTTATATTGCTGTGAATATGACTAGAATGCCAGGTCGAATACCTCAAGCTTAGTAAAGTACAGCATAGTTCAACTCGATGAATAGCTATGGAAGTTCTCTTTATTGATTGTTGGATGTGTAACAATAATTGGCATCTTTTTCACACGTTACAAAAAATTATACTTGGCTCAGTATGCAATATTTTAAGCATAGCCATATTATTTAACAGAAGGGGAAAAAAATCTATTCTACCCAATACAGCATTTACAAATGCACAAAACATGCCACTTTGGCTTTATATTGCCTAAATTAAAAAAAAAAATCTCTTTTTAACATAAATAAGTTAGTATAATTTTCAGTGTCTTTACAGAGTTATGTACACAGGTACAATTAAAATGGTTGTTTCAAACATACACAGGCAATGTAAAAATACTGTTTAAAGATGTAGTATCCATTTCGCTTATACCATATGGACTTTTCCCTATACATTTTCCTTTAAAAACAATTTTCTTTGGGCAAATTCACAAATAGAGAAGTTTTAAATTTAAAATTATTTCATTATTTTTTATGTGAAGTTATTTACAGATCTTTAAAAATATCCAATGATTTAGAATTATTTTGACTGTGTCTACACAGCCCAAAGTGAAAAGAAAATTCAGAAATTTTGTCAGCACATCTGTCAAGTCTGAGCATTCAGAACTCCCCCCATACACCTCCCAGATTTTTGCCCAGAATTATCTGGAGTGATTACCTAACTCCTGAATAATTACCTGATAAATTCAAATTTTAAAGGGTTTCGGGGGGAGCACTAAGAAGGATAGTTTTGTTATTTTTTAAAAAAGCCATTTGCTGCTATATAACGGAATCATCAGAGCTCCCAAATGAGAAATAGCTTCATGTAAAAATAAATAACTATTATTTGTAGCCAGTGTTCAAATTTGGAGGATTTTTAAAATGAAGTATCAGTTCTCACTGAAAGGGACATTACATCTTTAAAGAAAACAATTCAAACCCTCCCCACAAAATGCTTCTCTTCATGCAAGTCTAATATTTTTCTCCTTGCTCTAAATTGAAGCAAGCTCTTCATATCCCCATGCCAATTCCTCAGTCCCACCCTGACCTCCCTTTCCCAAAATGTATATGCTACATAAAAGGTAAAAACTATATACACAGGTAGTACAATGAAGCAAATAAGGAAAAACCTAATTGCACAATGCTACATCCAATGCTTTTAGAGGCAGATCACTTATGAGTGCCTAAAATTTTAGTGTTATCATGATGTTCCTTTTCAGTGCTTATACAGGACGTCCATCCCATGGAGTCAGGGATATGTATTTAAATTTTTTAATTCATGTCTTCCTTGCTTCATCAAGCAATGATGTTATCTGATAAACAAGGAAACATATTCTCAATTCTGCAAAAGAAACAAGAAGACAGGATTAGGAGAAAACCACTAAAATAACATTACCAATGAAGTTCAGGAATTATTTTGTCCCTGTCTTGGTTGGGAAATACCTGAGTGACAGAAAAGTATGTACTAAAAGTTGATGACTGTAGTCTTCTCAATCCAACATTTCCTTCACTGGATTTTTGCTCTCCCCTGTGTTGTGTACTTTTGTCTACAGCAGTGGTTCTCAATACTGGGCAATTTTGCCCCCCCCCCTCCCCGGAACATTTGGAAATGTTTAGAGACATTTGTGGTTGTCATACTTGGGCAAGGGGGTACTACTGACCTCTAATAGGAGAGGCCAGAGATGCTGCCAAACATTCGACAATGCACAGGACAGCCTCCCACAGCAAAAAATTATTTGGCCCAAAATATCAAAGTGCACAGGTTGAAAAACCCTGGTCTAGAGAATCAGGATCAAACATGGTGATAAAGAACAGAGATATAAAAATCAAGAAACTGCAATGCTTAAGAGTAGCAAAATTTTCTATATTTGAAAAACAATTGAAAATATAACTTATAAAGGCTATTTAAAGAAAATCCCATTAACACTTCTTTTTTCAAAATATTCTAGTTTTAGTCATATGCAGAATATACACATGAATGCTTCTGAATAGGGCGTTACTACTATTTCTAGTATTCTCTGAACTGGCAATATTTACTAACAAATGCCTCTCTAAGTCAGAATGGAGCCAGGTCAAAATCCAGTAGGTGTGATTCACTCTGGATCATCTGATGAGCGAGGCCACAAGTTTCAAAGTAACAATAGCTGCCGATGGTAAGGTTGTGTCAGAGCAATTTTTTATTCAATGTTCCCACTACCGATATAGCTGTAACATAGAAGTTCTATAATGTCATTTTCTATAAGCTCTGAAAATATCAGATGTATGCAAAGAAGTTGCATATGTGATATTAGGATTTAAAAACACAACAAATTTGAATCCTACCTTAATCCCTATGTTCTTTCATTTATTTTTAGATTTTTATAAATGAGGATTTTAAAAGTTACTATCAATATGAATTAAGATCTCTTTATATGCTAAGCTATGAGTGTGTTTTGGAAAAAAAAAAAAGAGGTCACAGTCCCTGTCTATAAGATGTTTACAGACTATTAATGTATGTAATTTGATCATTATGGCTAGCCAATCCTTGTAAAGTTGGGGGCTGAATTATTCAAATTAGCTATTCATGTTGATCAGATTTTAGTAGATGGAAAAATCTCCACTTCCCTTGTGCAGGGCAGACCTACCCTGCCAGGTCTGATATCTACTATTCATTTCCCCTACAAATATCCAAATCATCCTGTTATAGTAAGATTAGCATACACATGCTGACGTGTTCCTGGATTGCTTACTTTGGCAGAGTTAATTTAACTTCTGCTTTGCAACTTTAGTGTTATCAGAAATTCTGTCGGAACCTCGGTATTTTTGAGCTTTTTATTTTGGCTTTGTTTTAAAATACAAAGGTTCCTTCTCTGTCCCTAAAGCTTATCAGAACACAAGGAAAATCACCTTTTATGAAAATTATAAAGGAACACAACATACCTCTCTTTTCACATTTCTAACCATTTGATTAGCCAAGTAAGAGCCATTTGTATCTAACAATTCCCTCAAATTTTAAATTTAATCATTTAGTTGCCGTTTTTTCAATGTATAGCCCAAAAATGTGTTACTCAACTTAAGCCTCTGGGAAATGAATTCTCATCAAGTGGGACTGAAGCATACCCCAGTTCTTGTTTAGATGGGAAAGACCCTATTGTTCCCAACATGTTTTGGTGGGACTCACAGGGAACTAACCGTCCTATCCACAGGGTCCTGGTTACAAGTACTTGCCTGGAACACTTGCTCTAGTCCTTTCATGTTTCAAGGGAAAATGATCTCAGGGCGTGGAAACTGTTTAGAAATACAGTATCCCCAGTGACTCCTACCCTTCGCCATTTCTACTTTTTCAACTTCACAAAATATAAACAAAACAACAACCCACAGCTCTCATCTGCCAGCAACTAAGATGGGTATCTTGGGGTTTGAAAGGCCAGGAGTTCCTGCAGCTCAATTCGGGCGTCAGTTATTTACTCCTAGTTAATCAACCCACCGAGCAGTTTACGTTTGACGTCTTCTGAGGCCCGGCTTCTTGGGCGTCTGCTCCACTGAACCCGCGTTCGGGGAAGCATCTGAAACATTTTCTTCTGTTCTGTTGGCTCTTTTGTTTTGAGGAGAGGCATCTAAGGACAAGAGGGAATTTTCAAAAGAACACACACAAATAATCTTTATTAGGAAAAACAATGACTAACAAAAGTTGGCCCAGTAGTCAGGGGGTGAAAATCCCACCACCTCCACCCACAACCCTGGACCCATCATTCCGAGTGGCCTTTGAGGGCACAAAATGAGGTTGTTTTCACTTAACAGACAGTGTTTGCTACGCCCCAAAGCTCTCTCTCCATAGCGAAGAGGGAGGCCGCTGATAAACATCCCAACGTTGTCCAAGCCTACTGCCTTGTAGCCAGAGGGGGGGCGGGGGGAGGGGAAGGGGGAGCATTGATGTTTTCGGTTAGCGAAATTATCTAATAATACAATCTCAGGCTGCTGACTTACAAATCATAAACAGGCAAGCGGTCAGATAGCACTCACAACTTAAGATTACGAAAGTGCGCTCCCAAAAAGCTACATCAGAATACGCTGAACACTGAGAGGTTAAGACCCCCAAGTAGGCAAGGCGGTGCCCCAGACAGACATTTTATGGTTTGGGGAGGGTCATTACCGTCAGTGGCAGGTCGCTTCCTTATCCCAGTGCACGGCTCCGCTAAGCCCGTCTGGCCGTCCGAAGCATCAGTCTTTTGGTCTACCAAGTGTGTGTCCTCTGAGTTTGCCTGAGAGCCAATTAAAGACACCGCCTGGCGGTTCCCGCTGAGATCCAGGCTCTCCTGCGCGGGCACCTTGCAGGCGTCTTTGGGCGGCCGCGGGGGTCGGGAGTAGAACTCGGGCACACTGCCCTTTTCCACCTCCTGCCACTCGTATCTGCCCGGCAGGGGCCTGTGATTCTGAAAATCAAAATTCCACTTGCGCTGGCTTGCCTCTTCCATGTCTCGGCAGTATTTCTCCAAGTCCCGGGTTAGCTCTTCGTGATTCACGGGGCCAAAGAGATTTCGGCAGGCGGAGGGCTTGGGGTACTCCGCCTGCCTGGCGTCCATCCGCTCCAGGCTGGGGCTCCCGTTAGATACTCGCACGTTTGACATCTTCCTCCCGGGTCTGGACGACCGCCTCGCGCGCGCTCTCGGAAAACAAAACCGAACAAAACAAAACGCCCAGACCCAGCCCGAACCCCTCTTATAAGCCCTGCGACTGCCCTCGGAGCCAACAAAAACAAACCCCAACAAGTAACTGGCGAGCGTCAGGAGCGCGCTGGGTCTGGGGAGGGGGTGAGAGGAAGCCCGGACGAGGCAGCCCCAAAGTCTCCGCGGATCAAGTGTACGGGCGAGCGAGAGGGCGGGGAGGGGAGGGGAGAGGCGAGAGGCGGGGGTGGCCAAGCCAGTCCAAGTCCAGGCTGCTGCAAGCCCGCGGCTCCCGCGAACCCAGCGGCTCTCCAAACCTTGCCGGCGTCAGCGTCGCGGAGCGGCGAGACAGTGGGGAGAGGGGAGGGGAAGAAAAACACCCCGAAAAGACGAGCCCCCTTTTCTTAGTGGCCCAATATGGCGGTGGAAGGGAGGCTGACGAAGAAGAAAATGATTGACACCGCAAGTCTATTTAAACAGAGGAGGAGATCCATTGGTCGCGGCGCCGGGAGCCGCCCCGCCGAGGCTGGCGAGCGCGGCCTTAAGGTGGCCCCGGCGCGGTCCCGCCGCCTCCCCGCCTCCCCGAGCGCGCCGACGCCGAGAGCGCCGCCCGGAGATTGGCTGGTCGCGGGATGGCTGGAGGTGCGCCGCTGCCAGCAAACCTGCTCTAGCTGGCCTCGGAGAAATTAAAAATAAGACAAACAAGCTAGCCAAACGGCTGGGGAGCTGGGGAGGGGCCGGGGCGGCGGGGCGGCGGGGCCTTGGGTTCTGGTCCCCGCGCGGCGCTGGCGGGCGCGCGGCGGTCCCGACGCCCCGACCTCCCTCCCTCGCGGTCCTCGCCCGGGAAACGGACGGGCTGGACCAGAGGATCTCGGAGGGTGCTGGCAGCTCGATGTGCGCCTCGGTGGCGACCTTGTTTTCTCCGCACTGCGGGCAGCTGGGGGGCGGAGGCTGACGGTGGGAGCTCTGCCCGCGGCGGGTCTCTCCCCCGCTGCCCTAACTTCGCGCACGGCGGGGGAGGCGGGGAAGCATATGGACTGAGGGGCTGTGAGCCCCGGGTGAGCAGTGGTTAGCTCACCCTTAACCTAGACGTCTCTGCTCTTCTGGGGGGGGGCGGGCGGCTTAGGGAAGAAGCCTGGGCGAACGTCTTTCTATAAATTAGCCTGGAGTAGGCTCTGCATTTATAACACTGTATATCCTGAACTCAAGCTCTCCCTCAATAAAAATACGATTTCAAGATCAAAAACTCGAGTAGTCTCCCAAGTCCCTAATAAACTCGGTTGACGTCTCAGACACATTCAGTTTCCAAAAGCGAAGTTACACCCCTGGCCCAGGTTCTTACTTCCCAAGCACAGTTAAGGCAATTGACAGGGGCTGCGTGTGGGAACTCGTCTCTTTCTCATTTTCAGTTCTTTCCCTGATTGTTGCACTTTTCTCTTCCTCCCTCCAGCCACCAAATGCTATACAGCTCCTTCCTCCACCCCTCTCTCCTACCAGATTCACTGCTCCCTCCCACTCACAACAACATTACGACGCCAAGCGAAGGCTTTTCGAGGGCTACAAGCAGTTGAAGGGTGGAAATACTCTGAAAGTCCAGACTATGAAGTGATTTATAAAATCACCACAACCGTGTCTTCACGGCTGATACTATCCAGGCATTTCTCTGCTCCCCCGTGGCAACCTGCAATTTACCTATCAATCTGGTCCTGAGCCAGGTAGTGGAAGTTAAACCAGCACGGGCAGGGCTGTCAGATCTCAGACAAATCTCAGTGGGTCTTCATCTGCCTCAGCCCCACCCCACCCCCCAATACATATAATCTTGCCTTGGGCCAAAGTTAATACATTTTCCTGGAAACTGATCTCATTCAGTTCTAAGAGTCCTCAGAAGCAATGTTGTCTTACGCACCTATGCTACAGATGAGTTTGAGTTTTAACTTGTTTTCTTATCTACCTAATTGTTTGTCCTCTCTATGCGCTTGCCTCACCTCATACACTCCAGAACGTTAGAGTGGGAGGGACCTGTGGAACCCTGTAGTTCACCCTGTCTTTTTGCAGCTGAGGAAACTGAGACAGATTGAAAGATTCCTGTCCAGAAACATATCCAGTCGGCAGCAGAGCCAGGGATAGACCACGGGTCTTCTCTCTCAGGCTGGCTCATTTTGTTTCTTTCCTTTCTGATGGCCCCAACTGGTTAAGGTTTTTGTTTGGATTCACCTGTGTGTGCAGTAATCTGCAGGTCCTCCTCTTTTACAAGTGATACAAAATGGCTCCTCCTTGTGTCCTGGGCTGCTTGCAGATGTTTCCTTGATGTGGCCTGTGGTCACTGATATTTAAATGCAGCTGACACTGGCCTTTGGTATCACCATCCACTCATTCAACCAAAATGCAGATTCCAAAAAGACAGGGGTGATATTCAGAGTAGTGAGGGAGGCAGTGGCCGAGACTTGTTTCAAGTCAGGACTTCCTACCCGAGGGACAGAAAATATTTCACCTGGGATCAAAGTAGACGGTCTTCTCTTCTGTATTTTTCTACATGTAATGCCCCACTTAACTTATTGGGTTGCAGAATTGGGGAAGAGGGATACAACACTTAGGGTAGGCCTCCGCACTATAATTTATACTCCACCCCTGAAATTAGATCATTGTTGTCAACATTTTAAAATAGTTGCTGGGCTACATTATATGTAAGCATATATTCACTTGCATTAATACACCAACTACCACATGTAAGTGGAGAGATACTGGAGTATGACACCTTGCCACAGTTTCATTTTATTTGTGGAATTAATAGCCTACTTAAAAGTAGAAAAGTAATACTTTTATCCCCACACACAGCGGAATGTTTCTTCAGTTAATATGTAGCAGCACCATTTTGTTGCTTTGTTAATCTTGAAAAGTAAACGAGTCAGTCACGCCACCTTAAGACGTCTGGCTGCCAGCAGAAAGGCTGTGCTTACACCAACCTTGCTATGATCTAGTGTTTTGTTTACAGTCAAGGCACGGGAGATCTGTACAGCAAATAAAGAGAAGGCAGGCGTCTGCTGTAGTAGCGGCGAAGCATGGAAAAAAAAAAATACTATGGGTCCCTGAGGGAAGACGGAGCGTGGAGATCAGAGCGTCATCCTCCTGCGCAAAGTAGGCAGCTGCAGAAGAGTAAGGCGGAGAAACATTTCGGATAAACAGTGAAAAGGCGGAGCCTTTCCGTAGAAGACAGAAGGTTCCATTCGGCATAGCTCTAAAATGGGCTCTGCTCCCCAAGACGCAGAATTAGTCCTGGGTGACGTTTTTTGTTGTCATTTTCACTCTATGCAGGTAGTTTCCTACTGAGAGCTGAGAAGTGTCACTCACATAAGCCACCCCGAGATTTCTGTGTCCTTCACAAGCTGAGGAGAGAGGCAAAGACCAAAATAACTTAAAAAGAAAACACCTGTGTGGTACACAGTGTACAAATAGGGTAGTTGGGCAAACAGTGGGGTCAGCTGGCCTCCCAGCTGCAGTCCCTTCAGGGGATAGCTGTGCAGCCCCCAACGTCTCTGCGACTGTACACATCGACTTACTCAGTTGCCCCTCCCTCCACCAGTACACAATTTTAATCCTAGTCTACGCGGTTTATAATGAGGCAGCTTTCATTCAATTTCAGGATTCTCCTAAACCGACATATTTTTTTAGAAATTGGGAATTTAAGTCATTTGTTTCTGACACTTTTCATTCAATTTAACAAATATTTATTGAACACCTTCTATTAATTTGTTTAATCTTACTTTCTTTCAGCAAATATTTATTGAGTGCCTTTGATATGCCAGGCGTTATCCTAAGCTCTGGGAATACAGAAGTAAACAAAGAGATTTAAACTAGGATGCAGCTTACATTCTAGTAGAGGGGGAGAGGAGACAGACATACAATAAATGAGGAAAGCATATATTATGTAAGGAGGTGATATGTGATATGGAGAAACAATAAGCAGGGGAGAGGGAAAGAGAATGTTGCAAGGGTCCCAATGTGAGAATAGTCCGGGAAGGCCCCATTGAGAAAGTGGCTTTGGAGAGAAGCCCTGAGGAACTGAGACAGCAAGCCAGGCTGATATCTGGGGAAAGAGTGTCCCAATAAAGGGAACAGCAAATGCAAAGGCTCTGCGGTGGGCTCTTGTTTGATGGGTTTGATGGGCAGCAAGGAGCAAGGGGAGAGTGGTAGCAGGAACATCCAATCACATAAGACCATGCAAACCTATGTAGGGTTTCTGTCACTGACTGAGTGATATGAGAAGCCACTGGGGCATTAGGAAGTCTTAAACAGTGGAATGATGTAATCTCACCATGTGTAGAGCGTTTCCCCAGGGCCTTATTCTAAGCAGCATGGGGAGTGAAAGGATGACTAAATCACAATCGCTGTCTTTAGGGCGTATACACCCAAAAGGAGGAGACTATCATGTGTACAAAAAACTACAGAGGTAGAAAGCAATGCACAGAACATAGTACAAAGATGGAGTACAAAAGAGGGAGAAAGAGGAAGGATTTGTGGACGAGGTGATATATGAGTCAGATCTTGACGAATGAGAAAAATGTGAAGAAGATGGTAAGGATATAATGATAGGGGTGGCCATTGGGGGATGGGATCAGACAGTGGCAGGCCATAGATGGCATGCAATAAAAAAAAATGTTTTATTCATAAGCAGTGGGAACTGATGTTGCTTTTTGGTGAAAAGAATAACATGATCACTGTACACACTTATCTGCTGAACAAAGAGCAAGCTTGGGCCCTGGGAGACAATCTCTAGGAACACAGCTAAATGAAAAGCTGGGTAGCCATCCTATCACAGTGTTAATCCAAAAGTAGCTGCAAGTTGGGCAGAGTACTGGTGTCAGGCAAGCAAGTAGAGAAGCATGGGCCCCAAGACCAGGATGAGATGTTTGGGAACAGAGAGCAGGAGGCAGTCTGGTGCGATCCCCTAAGCTACAAAGGCATAGAAGCAGATGCTTTGTATGTGGTGCTTACAGCCTTGACCGTGAGTAGAGAGGTAACTGTTAAGGTGCCCAACATGCCTTGGACAATCAGATCTTTGTGTTTGGAAGTGGCACCTAACAGCAGAGTAAAGGATGGGTCTGATGAGCGTCTCCAGGGCTGACACAGGGAGGCCAGATTGCATTTGCTCAAGCAAGAGATACGACAGCCTCCAAGCAGTGCTGTGGAGGGCAGAATGGAAAGCAAGCAATGAATGTGGGATTGCTTAGGTAGTGAGAACAGATAAGGGTGTTAGGGAGAGATGGAGAAATAGAGGATGACTTTAAGGACTCAAGCTTGGGTATTTTAGAGAATAATAATGCCATAACTAGAGAGGTAGGATGTAACAGAGACTGCTAGCTGTGCATCAAAATCCATCTCGCCTTTTTCAGAATTATAACTGGGCATACAGCTGCCTAGCTATACTAAATTTCTCAGCTTCCTTAGCAGTTAGATATGACCTGGCGATTAAGTATTTTCCAACAGAATATAAT